TAAAGCTCGTGAAGAGCAGACTAGAGAAAACCAGGCTGGTTTTCGACCTGGACGTGGTTGTATAGATCAGATATTCACACTACGTCAGGTTCTAGAACAGAGACACACATTCAGACACCCCACAATGGTAGTATTTCTCGACCTTAAGGCGGCATTCGACTCCGTTGATCGTGAGGTTCTATGGCAGTGTTTGTCACTGAAAGGAGTACCAAAGAAGTACATTAACCTTATAAAGGCTCTCTACTCGAACACAACTGGTAGAGTGAGAGCTTATGGCGAACTGTCATCAGAATTGATCACCTCAAGTGGTGTTCGTCAGGGCTGTCCACTCTCCCCATTCTTGTTCAACTTTGTCATTGACGTACTTTTAGAGATAACACTCTCCTCATCTAAATTTACTGGGGTTGAACTTCTACCAGGAGGTTCACTTGTTGACTTAGAATATGCAGATGACATAGTTTTATTTGGTGAAGACGCTGACAAAATGCAGAGTCTTCTGACCACTCTAAGCAACAATGCAAGCATGTTCGGAATGCGATTCTCTCCCTCGAAATGCAAAATGTTGCTTCAGGATTGGGTTACATCGACACCCGAACTAGTGATAGGGAGTGAAGTAGTTGAGTGTGTCGACCGCTTCACTTATCTTGGAAGTCTCATCAGCCCTTGTGGTTTGGTGTGTGACGAAATCTCAGCACGGATACAGAAGGCTCGACTAGCTTTTGCCAACTTGCGTCATTTATGGCGTAGGCGAGATATCCGTCTATCAACCAAAGGACGTGTTTACTGCGCAGCAGTTCGTTCCGTCCTACTTTATGGCAGTGAAACATGGCCGGTAAGAGTAGAGGATATCCGTAGGTTACTAGTATTCGATCATAGGTGTCTTCGAAACATTGCTCGTATATCATGGGACCATCGAGTAAGTAACACAGTTGTTAGGAAACGGGTACTAGGTAAGGATGGCAAATCAATTGATGAAGTAGTGAAACTTCATCAGTTGAGATGGCTGGGACACGTGTTACGTATGCCCAACAACCGACTGCCTCGAAGTGCTATATTCAGTGGTATAGGAGTAGTTTGGAAGAAAGCTAGGGGCGGCCAAACCAAAACATGGCACAAGTCCATGAAGTCACTGACAAGTGAACTGAGTCATGTTGGTAGGTGTAGAATACCTGGTTGGGGACCGCGAGATGACAGCAACCGATGGTTAGAGACCCTGAATGACATGGCTCAAAATCGTTTGCAATGGCGCAGGTGCATCCACTCTCTGTGTTCTCCCAAATTTTAAACTCCTGATTTCTCTTTTTCTTTCTCTTCCCAGATTTATTTCACTGGATTATACTCTTTAAATAACATCTCCAAACCCTAATCTTTCCGATTACTGCTTATACTCGTACTACCTCTACCACTACGAGATTTGAATCGACCACTGCATCTCTGTGCTAATGTGGTGTGGCAACTCGAACTGATGTACGTACGTACGAAGTTCTACGTTGTTACTGACTGACTGACTCATGGCCTTTGTTTCAGATTTATGCATTCAGGACTGTAAAACTGCGCGTCAGAGAGCAGACACTCAGATAAAGTCATGCTATTTCTGTCAACGAAAAATAGGCTTTGCCCTCGTTAAAACACCTGTTCTATATCTCCCATTATATGACCGGTATTTTTTCACAGCGTTATGAAAATCAAAGGCAATTAATGATGGATTTCAGACTACGATAACTAACGACATGACATGGGATGGGTCAGTAAGCTCATTTTAGATTTGCTTGGAAATCGGATATCCACATATACTTATTCCATGAAGAAACAAACAAGGTGTAATTTTAATTCCCATTTACAATTAGAATCTAACTTATTTGACAGAACCTAGTAACCCTGTCAATCTTTCTTTTATATATTACCACCTCTGGATTAACTACTTTTATGAATCCGGTGTCCATCTCGTTGTGTTAATGAGGTATAACAACGTGGACCGATGCATATATGTGCCTGGTCCTACGTTGTAGCTGACTAACTGAAGCCTGTCAATCTACTCAACCCCTTTGTGTGTCGGTTTGCGCCCAACTTACTGACTACGTCGTGTATGACTAGTGTTTTGAAGGCTGTATTAGCCAAAACACTTCGTCTCCTACCTTCCTTAGTCATGTAGTGAAGTACATACCGACTCACTCGCATTAAACTTGGTACATAGTGGTGTTATGAGTTCTCTCTTCCATTAAGCATAAAATGACTTGTCAGTATCATTACGGGTGTTTCCATAGATCACCAAATCCAATGTAGCTCACAAGTTGATGATATCTGCCTGTTCAAAGTATTTTAATATAAAATTATCCTTTTGAGTACCGTTAATCTATACACTTCATTCTAAATCAAGTGTGCTTTTTAAGTGGAAGACGCTTTCAAACTTATGATTTCATGTTGTTAAACTTTCCATTTGCCAAAACTATTTTAGTTATGTGCTTTAAGTCAATTAGTGGATCGAATTTAGAGAACAATGACTGAAAAAGAGATGCGAAACTTTAGAATTGCCCATATAACGAGATTAGACCTCACAAGTGACTTTCCTTGATTGAACTCTTGATCACGCATTTTCGAGAACAGACTTTTTAAATATTCTACGTAATTATTCGGGACGCCTAAGAAGACATTGCTAGTAAACTATAATGTATCTTCCATTATAGACGTCATAAGTTCTAGATACTCTACAAAATCGCCGAAATTCAACTAAGTGCATACGTTGCTCTTTCCCATAACTGATTAGTAACTAGTAGTGTTCCTTACTCCGCAGGTGACGTTAAGCAATAACCAGTGGCGTAAGTAGTTAAGTCGTACGTATTGTTCTGTATACTAAAAACGTTCAAGCTACACTGACTAATCATCCACTTGGTATGACAGCCTACTTGTTATTACAACCATTTTAGTGAGTCATCTGCATTTATATAATTATAATCAAGAAGTGATACATTCTCTCATCCATCAAGGGCTGTGTGACTACGTAACTGTTCATTACGAAGTATGGTTTTCATACGCTGCTTCAATCCAGGGGGGTAGTTTAAGTTGTCAATAAGTGGACTATGAATTAATGTACTTGAAATCACCCTCAAAACATCTACATTAAGCAGAGTCAGTGGTCTTTTCGAAATAAATATGACCCACAAATCACAAAAACAATATGCTCTGTATAGTTTCTTTGGGGGAAATTATATTGTCTGCCTCGATCTCTAGGGCAAATAAACAGTTGGTCTTTACCAGACCCATGCCAACATATTTGCGATAATCATTTACAATTAGCAAACTACCTCGACATCAGTACTTTTTTGACTTTTTCCTAGATGAATTTATTTAAACCGCTGATTATAAAACCAAACGTCAGTGGTTTGATCAACAGTTTGTGTAGTAAAATGCGGTTACTCTCCATCCCACCATTAATACCGTCGGAGATACTATACCAGCGTGAAATAACACCTGCTAAGACACCAGCTCATCATAATAATTCAGAAATCGAAAAGCTGTTAAAAAGCGAACTATGTGATTACCCCGCATATTCCTCACGGAAAAGTAAATTCCGACATTGTTATTTATTTCCACATAGTTCGTCATGGATTTCAGGATGCTATCATGATTCGTGATTACAAGCGCAGACAAGTTTCTGCTCATTTCTGTAACTTACGCATCAGACTAAACGCTATCAGAAAAAACACGATTTTACCCCAGGAAATCAAGGTAAGTTAGTAATTACATCATTTTGTACTAGGATTTAGCAACGTCATATATTTCATCATTACCACGTGATAGCAACTGGACGCGCATTTTAAGCAGATGTATCGTTACTTCGAGGAGACGAGGGTGTAAAACACGTTGGAAAGTTTCACGTATTGTATGGAGAAAATATGCAGACTATAACAGAATGTCTGGAGTACTTTGGGCTCGCTGGGGATCAAATACTCGTAGTGTACGGAGACATATGTTATGGCCGCCTCCTAGAGAAACCCCTGTCTCTGAATATATACATCGATATTACAAAAATTTGGCTGATGTATAAAATAATATTAATTGATATAATAAAAGTTATATGTATCTAATTTCGTGAGCCGCGACTTTTATTTTTTTTTGAATAATAAACGCGAAATTGATCTCTCATTTAGTGTTTATTGGTAAGTACAGTACATCAAAGCTCTGAAAGGACATGAACCTCAAGTCGAAACTATCTCAAAGAATTCCTGGTGCGCAATGAGTAACTGCTTCGCACAGTAGCTGACTAAAGCAGATGTTTAGATAAAGAAATACAGATACCTTACGAACAGCAGTATCGATGGTTTTCGACTGCCTGGTAGCTGGTTTATTTAAACCATTATTTATGTTCAGCTTAGCTGAGGTGCAAATATTATTTCCCGAATTCACGTAGGATAATGATGCTGAAGCGTCCAGTGAAGTAGCCAAATCATTCATACTCAACCTTGCGCTTTTCTCTGCGGAACGCTCATCACAAATGAATAAACTTACCACTAACCGTCGGGGTTCTGTCCTTCTTTGGTGTTTTCCGTTTACCAGGTGAACCCATGTCCTGACTCCGTTCCATTGGTATGACTGGCTTTCCATGCAAGGAATTGTCTGCACTAACATCATCTCGCACATTCTGATTAGTGTCGATGTCGTTCCCTACATCCAACACTGTTGTCCGCACGTGATATTAGAATTGATCAACTTCACTTACCGTCTACCTCACTTCTGATATTCGTATTGCTACGACTTGCCTTTCTCTTTTCAGTTGAGGTAGTGGGACTCACAATGACATTCTTGACTTCAGAGCCTAGGAGGAATATGGATTGCAGATCAATAGGCGAAACTTACCACTAACTATCGGGGTTCTGTCCTTCTTTGGTGTTTTCCGTTTACCAGGTGAACCCATGTCCTGACTCCGTTCCATTGGTATGACTGGCTTTCCATGCAAGGAATTGTCTGCACTAACATCATCTCGCACATTCTGATTAGTGTCGATGTCGTTCCCTACATCCAACACTGTTGTCCGCACGTGATATTAGAATTGATCAACTTCACTTACCGTCTACCTCACTTCTGATATTCGTATTGCTACGACTTGCCTTTCTCTTTTCAGTTGAGGTAGTGGGACTCACAATGACATTCTTGACTTCAGAGCCTAGGAGGAATATGGATTGCAGATCAATAGGCGAAACTTACCACTAACTATCGGGGTTCTGTCCTTCTTTGGTGTTTTCCGTTTACCAGGTGAACTCATGTCCTGACTCCGTTCCATTGGTATGACTGGCTTTCCATGCAAGGAATTGTCTGCACTAACATCATCTCGCACATTCTGATTAGTGTCGATGTCGTTCCCTACATCCAACACTGTTGTCCGCACGTGATATTAGAATTGATCAACTTCACTTACCGTCTACCTCACTTCTGATATTCGTATTGCTACGACTTGCCTTTCTCTTTTCAGTTGAGGTAGTGGGACTCACAATGACATTCTTGACTTCAGAGCCTAGGAGGAATATGGATTGCAGATCAATAGGCGAAACTTACCACTAACTATCGGGGTTCTGTCCTTCTTTGGTGTTTTCCGTTTACCAGGTGAACTCATGTCCTGACTCCGTTCCATTGGTATGACTGGCTTTCCATGCAAGGAATTGTCTGCACTAACATCATCTCGCACATTCTGATTAGTGTCGATGTCGTTCCCTACATCCAACACTGTTGTCCGCACGTGATATTAGAATTGATCAACTTACCGTTTATCTCACCGTCTGCATCCTCAATGTTATTACATTGACCGTTCAATTTCATCTTCTTAGATGGTCTGCTGAAGCCATAATCTGTTTGGATAGAAAATCTAATTAAATCTGTATGCTCTAGTTTACCAGCCTGAACCTTCTCTTCCCAATCAGAAATCGTGCGCTTTCTATCATTTTTATCCATTAGTCTTCGCTTATCTCCTGATGTGATATCTGTATCCCGCTGTGTATTTGGACTGCTCGGGTTTCCCGGTTTCTCAAGTGAATATAGCGAGAACTGATTAGCCTCTTCATCCAATTCTAAACAGTGGTTTACAACAATGCTTTTTAAACTAACCTGTAACTATATCTGTACAAACGTCACCCCCTATTGGTAAAGCAGATGGATGGGGTTTTCTGGCAATCTTCTTTTCTCGAAAGTGCTCCTTCGATTCTTTATGGTGATGAATGTTTTGTTTCTTACACTGTTGTTTAGTACAAAGATAAAAAGCACTTACGTTAACCTGTTCTCCACCATCAGAATTTGTAGATTGACCAAGCAGTGTTGCCAAGGTAGATAGGTCAAAAGAGTTCAAAAGTACCTGTATTTTGTCTGCTACTGTGCAACCTCTCCAGTATGTTTTTTTTATTTTTGTCCGGATTCTTAAGCCTATCCAGTCCAAAACTGAATTTGGATCCAAATATCTACCTAGTTGCTTTGTAACTATATTTTTTTCTCATCGTACCTACCTCATAAGTGGGCTTCGGAATGTGAGAAAAGTTAAGATCCAGCCATTTATGAAGCATGAGAATTCTGATGGCATACTCATGACGTTTATAAGTCGACTTGTCTAGAGAAAATACTCGTCTACAGAGATAAAATAAAGGTGAGTTTACTTTGCCACGAACTCTCCAAACTCAGGAACAAGAGCAATGGTGTTCATTTGTAGAAGTACGTCAACTAGATAAATAGTTTCACCTGAAAGTGTGAACTCCACCATACAGAGATCATTTGAGTTGAACAAGTCAGGATTTTTTTGCGAGTTATTTTTATGAAGCAACACTCTGGAATCGAGAAATGAAGCTAGAAGGGATGTCCAGGTCATATAGTTATCGGATCTACATAACTTGAATTAATAATAAATATTCACTGAAAGTCTTACAGGACACTCATGGAAGGAATGTGAATAATAAATGGGGAGTACGTTGTAAAGATAATCATTAATTGTCCTAAGAAAGTATTGTTTATAAAAATCAGAAGTTACTGGGCATTTTCTGCATCAATGCGAACACGACTCCAACTACAAAAATAAGTTATTATTTCAATGTGATTATTACAAACAAGTCCAAGCGATTATTTATAATTGACTCAATTATTCTCAATAACTACAGAAAATAGAAGTGAAGTAATCCAACTGCAATGACACAAATAAGAGCTAATTGATGGCATTATGCCTAAGATGACCCACAGTACATCAGACCAACCACAGGTACGGAAAACAAGTCAACCTGACAAGCTTCTCATATTGGTTCCTGGTTAGCCCAAAAACAAACAAAGTACCTTTCAAAACTAGAACATTCAGGTCAAAATGCAAAACTACCGGTAGAAAGACTTGGTGATAACTTATACAAACAACTAAGTATTAGCCCCCAAATGCCCTGGTACGGTCGAGAGTGGGGAGAGTCCACTCTCCCTCTCCAAGTGCTCTTACATGGCAACGCGCATACAGCTATTGCCAGAGAAGCCCTACCCACTGCCTTCTCGCGGCATTACTATTGTTTACGAAATTGAGAGGACAAGAAGCGAATGTTCAGCGCCTTAACCGGGTTGGTTGATATGGGGGATCCACCTAGGGGAGTTGGGGAACCCTGACTTCAAACCAATGGTACACATGAGCTGCAGGATCCTAAAGGAACAAATGACATATGAACACATTATTGGTTACCGACTACCATGGAACTGCACCTCCTGACGTTGCTCCACTGCCTTGTCAATCAGACCTTTAGGTCGAAGGCCCTGAGCGTGGCTCCCTAAGAAAATCATCTGCTGTAGTTTGGGCACCCTGACAGTGTCATAGCCCACTCACAAATCACGGGAGTTGTGTGGCACATATGTATTTGGTACCCCTTTGTACTAATATTTGTGTGTTCAAAAAAAATAACTGTCAACATTATTGGCAGTTAAGCCAACCTATTTCTCAGAAAATTTTGATTATTTTTGGAGAACCCGAATTTCCGCATATCTGTGTATTTTTAATACAATAGGTAATAAACATAATATGTTCCTTCATTGAGTGATATCGACGTACTCAGCCCCACCTGTTTTTTCACGTTTATCAAACGAAAAGCAGATTCGCACTTCACTCACATAAGGTTACCCGAAAACATAGTAATTACAAAAACAGCATTTTTTGTGCCACATTGTCAAGCTTGGTTAAAGTGTGTTGAAATAACTATTGCTTACCAGAAAATATGCATTTTGTCCTCAAAAATAATAAGTGGTTAAATTCTTTGCCATCTATATTACAGTGAGTATACTATCTGTCCTGTATTTCTGTCGAGGTCTGGTTTATGACACCAGTCGATCACTACAGCATAATCATATTGTTCGTCGACACTTCCAAACCCTTAGATCTGGGACAAAAACAACCGACTGAGCACACTTTCGTTAAAATATAGCACAAAACAGAAGTTTTCTAGGTCTGTAAATATACAGGCTAATTAATTTACACATATGACATCTAGATATCGTGATATGTGCAACGATGTTCAAATGCATTTGCAATCTACTCAGAAATAATATCCAAGCCTGGAAAGGAGGAGTACTAACTTTTCAATTTTAACTATAAGATTGTGTTGAGTATCCAAGTCACCACTAACGAACGAATGCCTCAAACCTGACAAAACACAGTCCATCGGCAATATTCAAAAGTAAGTGACGTCCTTGCATATAGACTTCTATAAAGTGAAACAATTTCAGCTGTGAATAAATGTGTAGAAAATAGTTTCTTTCAGTCGAATAAAGATATGAAGGATGAGCTAACACGTGTTCGGAGCCCTACACTACCGGCTTTTGGTTAAGATTGTTGGACTGTCTTGACTTAGCTCAAGTGTTACTGCTAAGTGTTGTCTACTGTTTTCTTTATTAGGCGTGGGCTTTCTGAGACTTTAGCAAACTTTTCCCTTTGTTCTTCACTTTTCTGGCCTTATTGAAGTGCGCTACTCTGCACATTCCCAAGATAATTTCGGGATAGACTCAAACCAATACATGTTACACTCTTCAATTAACCTATTTTTATAGATATACAAAAGAACCAGAGTTGACATGATCACAGTTTTTAAATCACCTAGTGATAATTTTTGTCTGGTATACCTTGACTTTTCTTTTATTCGAAAACACTGAAAAAGTTCACAAGCCTAGAACAAATTACTTATCAGCTGACTATCGACTTTCTCACCGAATCTTCAACTAATAGGATTCATTACCTTAAAGCGTGATTGAAGCTCTGTCTGTTAGCATTTCCAAAAAATGCGAATCGACTGAGAGAGCACCATTTTCAGGACCAACGCAAGGAACTTAGCGTCCTTTCTTTTCCAAACTGAAACCAACATATGAAGTTATTTTTTACATGTTTGTATCTTGATCGTGAATAAAAGTACTTTGCCATCGATAGAACAGAGCCCAAGATGCCGTTGTTGTCAGTCGGATGGGAGTCTCCTACATGAGAATCAACCTTTTCTTCGGTGAACTAACCAATACACCAACGAGCTGCGACACAAACATGGAATTTCATTAATATCTAACAGCCAACGAAGTCCAACAAATTCTGGTAGAAAAGTGAGGTTCCCAGAACACCTAGGAAGCCAATATGACTAGAACATTTTTGCTGAATTTTTATTTCATTCTCACTCGTTCACGGAGTCTAACAATTTGGTTGCTTTTTCCTTTGCAAATGAGTATCAAAGAAAGCAGATAAGCAATTTAAATAGACAAAGAATGAAGATTGGTGCAGAATGATATGAATCCATTTCATTCAGTTAGGTTCTCATCAGCTGCTTACAGCCTATAATATTTTGTAGTCAACGTTATTACAGATGTGGACATACTTACATACCTATTCACTACTAGTCTGGTTTCTTCTATCAATAGCACGAGGGTTACCTACTTGCACGAAACTTATACAGAGTGACTAAAAATGAATATGTGTATCACGACCTAACCAAGATTTCAATAGTTAACAAGGTCATAAAAATGCGTTTCGAATAAATAAAGTTTGGGAGGGTGTTATAACGTGAAAATATTTCTGCGGATTAAGGGTTAGCGAATTATTGACCGGACCAAAGACGCACAAACACGTAGACCTAGGGTTCTGATTGGTCTCGCTCCCCTGTCTAGCCCAGTCAATTGAGTCCAGAACGCAAGTCACTGCCTCGGATATATGGATCCTTGTATTTCAAACATACTCTATTTATATACCAAGCAAACAAACCACATCGTACCACAAAGTAGAAAATAACATTGTACAATATTGGCCAACAGGAAAATAACACGTTAAATAAATATCGACCAATGGGAAATGTACATTTAAGGTCCAAGGACACCATTGGACTTAACATGATAATTATTGGTCTATTTTTCCGACTACCTAACAGAGGGAAAGTTCCAGAACATTAGAATAGTGATTAGAACTCATGTCGTTAACAAACATTTGATGATTGTGTAATGAAGAAACTGACAACATATTAATGGTAATAAATAAGGACATGAATTGAAGGAAAACGACAATGATGTAATTAAGCTCCAGAAAGAGTTGAAATAATGAGTTATGTAATAAATAAAAGTTGGTGTACTGCTACTAGGATAAAGAAAGACTTACTACTACCTCTTTATGGGCACATAGATCCAGTTTTAGACGTTTGATTGTTATCTGTTGGGCCAATTTTAAAAGGTTGGGGTTTGATTGTTAGTTAATCGTTTTGAAAGACTTCAGTGCATCAACTTCATTTCCTGTGTCAAGGCGATGTATCATGAAAGTGGTAACATTTTTTCACATGGTTTAGGAAGTTTTTGACGTGTTCATTTGCAGCGTGTATTAGACAGAGTTTATCATCCTTTATTGCATATCAGGTACGTTTTACCCCGGGAAAATAATTTCGACGGACGCTTACCAATTAATATATACCTATCGCGGACTTCGTTTCCTACATATCTTATATAAGCCCCCAGTGATTGACACTGACGCGTCTTCACCTTTGATTATACTAAATGAGATGTAAACATTCAATTGATATTTACTCTCTCATGCTATATCGGAACACCTTATATCTGAAATACATGATATACCCACAGTCTGATCCTAGTATTACCCGGTTAGTACTTAATAATCACAATATACTCAGATATCCTATTTATTTAAACGGGCTCTTTACTCATCCAGTTTCAAATTATGGCCAGTAACTCCAGTAAAAGATAAATGTCATAACTTCTGAGTCAGTTACTAATGTAGACTTCAATGTACAGAATATTTCAAAGGCAATTAGTACACTGAAACATTTCCAAACTTTATTTATTCGAAACGCATTTTTATGACCTTGTTAACTATTGAAATCTTGGTTAGGTCGTGATACACATATTCATTTTTAGTCACTCTGTATAAGTTTCGTGCAAGTAGGTAACCCTCGTGCTATTGATAGAAGAAACCAGACTAGTAGTGGATAGGTATGTAAGTATGTCCACATCTGTAATAACGTTGACTACAAAATATTATAGGCTGTAAGCAGCTGATGAGAACCTAACTGAATGAAATGGACTTGTAGTGGCATTAGACCATGACCACACAATCTTCAAAGCTGAACACAAGACTACTCAGAAAATAGATATTCAATATTTAACGCGGAGAAATGCCTAACGATGGAGAAGGCGGGAGGACTAATTGAAGTAATTGGTGTTGATCGAGTGGCATGGCTCGGCCATGCAGGCGTGGTCTCTGCTGAATGTTACCTTATATCTTCCATTCATATTAAATATATTGTTCTTTCTCTAGCCTAACCTTGTTCGCCATCATGTATTGGTAATTGATACGATACAGTGAGTTGGTGTAGTCGATGGTGTGACTTCCACGTAAGATCTTATAGATTAGGCAGTTATATCATGACAAATCTACAAATTTAGGATTAGGTCTATTATTAGAGCAGTACTAATATCATAGTAGACCATAATTCTACAGATTCATATCATTCTAAACCAATCTTCGTTCTTGCTCTTTTTTATTTGGTCAGTTGTAATCTTTAACATTAATTTAGAGCACAAAAAATGAATTACAGATAACTATTATTATTATTCGCAAACATCTTATGAGTACATAATTGTTTTGGAGAAACCATTTTGAGTTTCTCCGAAAATGAAGTATTACACAAGTTTCGATGATGTTAGCATTATATTCGCCGTATTTGAAAAAGAGAATAGTAATAATAGAATAATAATAATAAACCAGGTTCTGTGTAACTGAGAAGAATATTGAATTGAGTTTAAAGAAGGAAGGGAAGAAAGTAAGGAAATAGAAATAAAGGAGATGTGAAATACGCATATAGCTTAATAGGCGTGTTTATGAACACGGAACAAGAATAAACGACTATATACTGGTACTGGTTCGTAAGAAACGACAAAAGCCAACCTGTAAAGGAGTAGATAATTCCAAGAGACCTCATGTTGTCGTTTTTACAGTGTGCGGCACTTTATCAAGTGCTTTTTTTAGACCAAAATATCTCTCCTTGCTTACTGTTTCGAAAAACCGCTCAAAACGTCTATCAGACGTAAATTGGATAGCTTATCTTTTAGGATCTCCCGTTACAGAGGATTCGTTAGGTCTTCAAATAAAAGTGCCACATTCAATTTTTTCCTATTTCCTTCTTTATTCGTATTACAAAAGAAGTTATATTTATTTATCTATTATTCTGGATTAGATTCTTCAGTGTTTGAGGGCCTCGGAAGTTCCCTCTCAAGTTTCCGAATATGATCCTTTTCTTAAGAGTAGGAAAAATACTTGAGAAGTATTGTTTGTATGCCTTGCCTCATCTTTTTATGAAGAGCTGGTGGGATGTCATAAGTACTTTCAATTGCGCCAGATTTAAGAATTTTGACAGAATTGATGACGTTGCTGACGCTAAATTCCCTGCTGCCACATCAAACAGACGACCTCCGAGAAACTAGCCAGAATAACGACAATTTTTGGGGTTCGTGTGTGTTTTTTAAAACACAGTTAATGATAGCCTGTCGCTTTTGAAGATAATACTAGCCAGATTTATCTTTTCAACCCGTTTTGATGGTGACTCAGTGGTGCGGTACCTGCAGGGCACCAGTTTCTTGAGATATAGGGATTTGTGCAATCGTGGGCAGGATGATTGAAGAAACCTGAGGGAGGATGTCACTTTACGCCGCAGAGGACAATGAACAGAAATCCCCTACGGCACTGTACATTTCTTTCCAGCTCTAAGTCATCACTACAGAAGTAGGGTCCTAGTGACTGAATGAGTTTCGGGCACCCACGTCACAATTACTGCTGCTCTGGAAGATGTAACTCATGATTCCAAACTCAAGAACGAGAATTTAGACATGTATCAAGCATTCTCAAAGTTCAAACGCAAGTTAGAACAAAACTATCCTAACCATTGCAATTTATTTCAAAATAATGATGTGACTTCAACGTAAGATCTTTTAGATTAGGCAGTCATTCCATGACAAATCTACAATTTTAGGATAAGGGCTATTATTAGAGCAGTAATAATAACACAGTGGACCATAATTCTACAACACTACTTATCACCTTAAGGTAGTTTTATGCCAATCCCTAAAAGTCATCTTCTTAGCCAGTTTAATACATAGATACTCTTTAGAATTAAGAGCTTTGCCTAGAATAATTTGGGTCTCGTAAATGATGCAGATAGCTCTACACACTAGGA